TGTGGAGAATGTACTGTCCCAAGCTTCGGGGGTTTATATAGCTGTTTTCAGAGATACTTGTAGGGACCCGTAAATTTTCAGTTCTTGCAAGGTTGTATGATAAGGGACGAGGTGTTTACTCCTTTCCTGGCCTGTGTTGTGGTCTATTAGTGACCATAAGCACTCCTTTCTGCCCTGGAACTGTGAGGAAGGTTTCTTGTCCACAGCCACTACAAGCTCCACCATGCCAGTGCTCCTCCTCAACCCAGGACCCCCATCCAGAACTGTGACCCAGATCCAAGCACAGGCAAAGCAAGAGCTTTCTGCCTCAGCACCAGCAGAGAGATCCCTGCAACCCCTCTCTGATCAGCCACTCGATTCCCCCTCTGTCTGTGGGCCAGAAGCTCGGGAAGCAGCTGCCCACCCCAGGGCCATGCTCTTGGGGAATGGATCTGAGACCCTGCCTTCCTCTCTAAGCACTACAGGAACAGACTTTTCCCAGTGACCTTCTAAGTTGTCTTTGGCATTCGTGGATTGAAGAGTCTGGAAACCGCCACAGCTGCCCGTGATTCAGTCTTCTGAGGCCTGCTCCAGGTTTGCTGCGGCCTGCATGCCCACGCTGCACTGCGCTCCGCTCCCAGGTTGTCTTGGGCTGGAAATTTGTTTCACTCTGTCTTTTTGTGGGTTAAGCTGCCTTAGAATTTGTTTAGAGCCATTTTTATAGGTTTTTGGAGGGGTTTGGGGGAGAGCTCAAGCAAGTTGCTGCTTTCATTCACTCCTCCCTTTTGGCTCCGCCCCCAAATTATTTTTTAATGGACACTTGTTTCCTCTTTTCTGGGAATTCTAGTTGAGTTTGTGTCCCAGCTGTGTTATTCTTCAAGGCATTGCTTGTAAATGTTTTGGAGTTGTTCTTTTCTTCTGCATTTATGTCCTGAGCATTGTCTCTGACACTATAATAGCTCATTATGGCATGTTCTTTTTAATTTTTTTTCACTCATTCTTCCAGCCTACTTTCAGACTTTGGACTTATTGTTAGGACTGGGCTCTGCCATACTTCCAGACAGAAGGTCTTGGCTAATCTATTGCTGCTTTCTTGAAGTATTGGATGTCTTTTTATGCCAGGCCCTCAGGGACAGTCTGGGAACCTGCAATCTTTTAGAGCTTCCAAAATGGTCTTTTCTATTAGGTTTATCTTGTGGTGGGTTCTTTCAATTTTCTTCTTCTTGCCATTGCTGCTTTTGTTTCATTTTGGACTGTATTTCTTGTTTATTTGTGGGGCTATCCCCTCATGCTGCCGTCTTCCTAGAATTTCCCTTGTCATTACATTTGTAATAGGGGTTTTTTTTTGTACATGCCTAGATCAACTAACGTAGTAGTACCCACATGAACGATAATAAAAACCTACTTCCAGGAGACAGTCTGTATTCCCTTACCACATAGGTAGGAACAGCCACTTTTCATTGACTGCATAGTTGAGAATGGTGGTAGTGATAAAGGTGCTGTACAGTCACACTGGGGGTACTGTGAACTGAACTACAGTTTTTTATAAGTCCCTATGGCCCTGAGAAAATTACCTGGAGTTTTGGTCTGGGCTGTTTTCTTTGTGCTTTTCAGTTCTAAGCACAGGCGGTAGGGTCCCAGACCCAGACTTGAACAATGGTGACCTTGGAGGCAGGATTCCAACCTGGGTATTTTAGCCAGCCAAACAAGGAAGCCCTAAAATGTCACAGTCCCCAGAACTCAACCTCAAAGGGGCTTTGGTGGGACTGAGCTATATAGTAACCTAGCTAAGCTGTGAACCTGATATCTCTCCCCTTTCCAGAGACTGAGGTGCTATTAAGGGGAATTAATCTAGCTTTCCTCATATTTCTTATATCATTCCTTTTGCTGTCATGTTCATCTCCCATCCACTGCACACTAATTCACTACCCCCGGCCTGGTCTCCCTGGTGAGTTTTCACCTTCTCTTTCTGGGGACCAGGCCTTCATGCCACTGCCATGCCATTTCCACTTTTCCCCTCACTCTGATAGTCTCCAATGCCACTTTATGTGTGATCTTCCTTGTTAGAAGCTTCTTGAGGCACAGGACCCTCTTGTATTGTCTTGCTTGTATTGTATCCCAATCATTTAACTCAATAGTTGGCATAGAGGCAGTACTTAATAAATATTTTGTCTCTTCTTCTGAATATGTCTGCCTGTATGTATGCATGTGTATATGTATATACATGTCTATTTATCTGTCTGTCTGTCTTTAGCATCATGGGTCTAGGGGAATATATCTGAATTCAGAAGGAAAATTGCTTCCATGATCACTTTTAAGTGATTTATTCTGTGTCTCTGTGTCTGTCTGTCTCTACCTCTGCCTCTGCCTCTCTCTCCACATGTGAAAAGATTATTGTGAATGTTTCCCATAGTAGTGTCCAAGAGCACATTTACTAATGAACAGAGATTGCTTGGAAGAGGGACAAATGGAAGGTAGAATTTCATTTGTTATTTCATTATGTCCATGAAACAAATCAGCTAGGGAAGTTGCAGACCCTTCTTTCTCCTCTGACTCCCCTAGTATTTTATTGGTCACTCACAGTTATATAAGTTATGCCATGGACTGTATTCCGTCCAAACTGGACATTTTCCATTACCCGTACATTTCCTGAACTTGTTTATCTGACATTGTTCCCTATGTATGGAAAGTCCTCTTCCATCTTAACCTTTTGAATTCCTATCTGACCTTTAAAATTCTATTTAAATTCCACTTATTCTGGGAAGCTTTTCCTGGTTGCCTCCCAGTTGATAATGGTCTCTCCTTGCTTTTTATATCTCTCTTTTGCACTAATGGTATTTTGCTCATTGATTTATATTATTTTATGTATTACTTTATATAATGGCTATTTCGGTCCATGCACTCTCTCTTCCAGCATGTTCTCCAGTGACACAGAGCTTGCTGTGCCTGCATAGCATTTATCCAACTTTCCCATTAGATTTAATATCTCATTCCATTTCCTGCCCACTCCCCTGACTCATTCCTCCCTAAACTTGTCCTAAATGCCACCAGATTTCCAGTCTCAGATGCCCTACCTCTGTTGTTGTTCCACTTCAATAGCCTTGCACACACTTAATAGAAACCTCACAGATGGTGAGGAGCAGCAGTGTTACTATGGTAACAGATGTAGTACAATCAGTTGTAAAGTACTTCAGTTCATCCTGGTTATTTTGACCTGGTACATGCTATTTCTGTATTCTTGGGGTCTTTGGTGACTGGACCTTCCTCCTGTTAGTGTCTGGAGGATCATATATTTTGGCCCCAAGGACTGGGGGCTTCATTTCTTCCACTTGCCTCAAGTCCCTTTGTGTCATCCGTTTACCATATTTTCACAGTGAATTCTTAAACAAATTCCTCAAAGATTCTCCTCCAACCTGGGGGATTTTTACCACATTTTTGTTGCCCATTTATTTGTTGCCTCTATGGACCTGGAACAAAGTGGGTAGGAGGAGTTAGGTCAAGCAGTTGTGGGGGGATTTTTTCAGCTAGAAATGGGCCTTAATTAGGTCACACTGACCTCTCTACAAAAGAGGAGGCAAAAGGGGTAGTGGCTTTGCCTTTTTTTTAACTTCTTTAGGAACTTCTGGGTCCCCATTTAAGTTTAGAGACCACTAGAATGGTGGGAGCAGCCATGATAGATCTAGGCCACATGGATATAAGACACTAATCACATTATGAGCATTTGCCATTGACAATTTAAAAAAAATATAAATCTTGCTTAGTAATCAGCCTGGAAAAAATTATTCTGAATTCTTTTATTGAAGATAGTTTAAAAAAAGTCCATCCTTTTTCCTTATTCACTATTAACTGTAAGTATACTTATTGGTTTCCTTGCCTCTTCCACCTCCCACCGAAAGACCAAAGGAATGGAGGAAAGGAATGGAAAATGAAGAGATTATTATGCTCATCTCCATTTGAGGAAATTTTTTCTTTTTTTTCCAATTTAATTGAATATTTTAGAACTGGAGAGATCACATGCTTCTTATCTATTAAGTGTGTACTGAGGAAAGAAATACTGAGATTGGATTATTCTAAGGAGTATGAACCACAGCCAAGATGATAGGGGCAATTATGATATTTAAATACTAATATTTCATTGCAGATTGACTATCACTCAAAGGAAAGTAGGTGCATAGAGGGTATGAATAGACAATGACACGTAATAGATAGCGAGGAACCAGAATAAAGAATCGTAACAAAGAAATACGTGATTGAAAAAGATAACTAGGGCACATGAAGACTAAGGGAGAAATGATGGACTGTCTGATTTTTTTTTTCTATTCTTGTCCCCTTGGTGTCAGCAGAAAGTAAGGATTGCCTGCTGCATGTAATAGCAGCAATGCTGGTAATTAACTAGCATTTATATAATGTCTTAAGGTTGGCAATGTGCTATTTTCTCTTTCAATCCTTCTAGCAACCCTGAGTAGTAGGTGCATTACTACACTCATTAAATAGATGAAAAAAAAAACAGTTTCTGAGAAGTGGGGACTTTCCCAGTGTAACACAAGTGAGGGTTTGAACTCGGGTCTTCCTGTCTCTAAGTCCCACACTCTAATCACTGCACCACTTAACTCTTTGGGAGAGATATGGATAAGAGTTGTGTAGGATGGGAAGCCATGGATGGGGACCAACATTATTGGAAAGACCATTTATAATGATTTGATCATAGATGTAGTTAAAAATTTATGTTATATTTATGTAATAACACCTAAGTTCAGATTCGGTGAACTACTCTTTGCACAAGTGGTAGGAACCAATTTGTTGAAAGGGAAAGGGCAACATCACTGCCATTCAGAGGAAAAAGCAGCTCAGTTTTTTAACATCCTAGAATCACTTGAATGGGTTTCTACCCCTGCCAGTGAGGTCCAGGTGGGGAGAAAAGCTTGAGTATTGCACCACCTGGTGACTGACTCAGGCTTAAGACTCTGAGTTGCTCCAGACACACACACGCACGCACGCACGCACGCACACGCACACGCACACACCCCTATATAAAAACAACAGAGTCCAAACCCAAACACCAATGTCCCAAGTGATGTCGCACTGCAAATACCTTTAAATTTTCTTATTCGGTATTTGATCAGACACTTAGTCTGACAAACAATTTAAAAGAAAGGGAGAATTGGGGTGGGTGGTGGAAGCAGAACACCTGAACATCATAAAACACAGCACAACACTAGTTGAAATAAAAAATGGCCTCTGTTTTATGGAGGAGGAACTGGAAACTTGACAGGAAGCAGTACTCTCCACCCACTTCAACTCCCAACATTGCTTTGAGAAGGAACTTTGGCTAGGTAGCCACCGACATTCTCTAAAATAAAAAGGTAAGGTTACTCAATATCCCTGGCCTTGGGGATCTGGGCAATAGTTCAAGGAGCGGGTGGGGATGGGGCAAAGAATGAGGAGACAAACCGCGGGCAAGTGACTGGTTATACAAGAGAAAGCAGTCTAAGAGAGAAAGCCTGAACCCTCCATCACTCTATGGGGGAAATTGAACACTGGTTCTTCCCAGAAATTCAAAAGGAAGGGAGTATAATTATAGGGGGAGGCAGTGAAAGAAGACAGAGAAAGCACGGAATTAATATAGAACACAGCAAAGAACCAGAGAGACTGGGATTTCATAGTCATTGCTTAATAAATACTTGTTGAGTGATTCAAAAAGTTTCCCCGATTTAGGAAAAAAAAAGGGGAACATCTGGAGTCAGTAACTAGTGTTTTGTTGACTGGACAAAGTTGAGGCTTAGCTAGGGGCTAGTTTCCCCTCTTGAAAGTGATCAGGGAAGCAGCTTTCCTTCTGAATTCATTCATTCCCCTAGGCTAGAGAAGTTTAAGGTAGTGGCAAAGAGATATAATTTTAGCCCTATAGCCCTTTTTGAAACTGGAGGAGAGATTTGCCAGCCCTCCTTGGTTGTCTCATACATTGGTTTCCCTTTCCTTCAACTATCATGCTTGAGATGTAGGCACAGTCTTTCTATTCTCTGCAAATGTGGACCACACCCCAGATGCTATCTATCCATAGCAACTCTGCCTCTAAATATTTAGACATCTCACTCCCATCCACCCCCTTCTCTCTTTCTGTCTTTCTCTCTGTATACATATATATACACATGCACAATACATATATGTATATATGTGTACATATATAACATATATACATACACACATATACATATATATATATATACATCTTATATTGTTAACAGAAGTTAGTAATGAAATTAAGTCAGAAAGCAGGTTGTAAAAATGCGAACATTAGAGAAGGAGACATTGAATACACAATGGAGAATCTCAAAGAAGTAGAGACTATGAGAGAGAACAGATTTTGAAAAAATAATGCAGTGCCAGAAAATTTGGAAGAAAAATAAAAGGCTACAATGGTAAAAAGAACAAATTAATTTTGTATAAGCAAAAACCACTAACCTTGAAGATCACTTGGTCAGTGATAACTTAAACATCATAAGTCTCTTGGAAAAACATGACAAATTAAAAAAACCCAGCATTTAATATCATACTGCAGGAAATGTCACATGAAAACTGTGTAGACTTTTTTAATGGTGACCTCAAAATGCTGATTCATCAAACACAGACTCACCTTCAAGATAACAAAACATCTCAGACTCACAGGAATGTAGTAGTTAATTTTCTCAATCATCAATAAGAAAACAAATCTTGTAAGCAGACAGGAAAAAAAGTCTAATGTCTGAATAAACCACAAGGTGGCACAATACTCAAATACTTAAAATAGGGAAGACAGAGGATTCTGGGAAGATGGTGGAGGAGATCAGAAAATTCCAAGCTCAGGGGCAGCTAGGTGGGGCAGTGGACAGAGCTTCCGCCTTACAATCAGGAGGACCTGAGTTTAAATGTGAGCTCGGACACCTGGCACTTACTAGCTGTGTGACCCTGGGCAAGTCACTTAACCCTGATTGCCTCACCAAAAAGGCAAAAAAAAAAAAGGAATCTCCAGATTTCCTCAACAAACAAGACAATGTAGGTCTCAGGGTCAATGTAGAGCAGCAAAAATAAACAAGAGTTGGGGCAGAACAGTGGTTCTCCTGGGACAACTAAAGAAGATCTGAAGAAAGATCCCAGAATGGGGGTTTGGCTGAGTGAAGTATAAACACCCTAGGCTAGCTCAGCTGACACTGCAAGCTGTGAGCCCAAGGACTCAGCCCTTGAGAGATAGCCTCAATCTCAGCACAGGAATTTTCACCTCCCATCCAGTGTGGAGAGTAGGGCATCTGGGGGGAGGGAGATTGAGGGAGCCTCTGCTGACAAGGGGTACCAAACCCAGCTGTGCTGCTGAGTTGTGGTCCTGGATGAGAAGGAGCCAGCATGTGCCCAGTGAGTGCAAAAGCAGTGAGGTAGCTGCTGGCTATGGGTATTTACAGGGAGGGTTCGCAGGCAGCAAGAGCATTTCCAGCACAGTGTGCTGTGAGTGAAGGGTAGCTGTGGCTTGGAGGAGGAAAAGGAATGCAGAGGTTGGGTCCAGAACAAATCTCAAAAAATAACAGTCAGAAGGACCTGAGGCCAGAGACACCCCCCCCCATTAGAAGTGATTATAATAATAAGCTACTAAAAAAAAAAGGCAGGCAAAGGAGAAACCGTAAACAGTTGTTATAAGAATAGAGAAGACGAAGTCATATCAAATGGTGACCTCCCCAAAAAAGAATTCATAGAACTCACAAAAGACTTCAAAAATCAAACAAGAGAGATTGAAGGAATTTTTTTTTAAAATGTAAAAACAATCCAGGAAAAACAAGAAGATTATGAAAAGAAAGTTAACCAACTGGAATAGGAGATCCGGAATCTTAAGGAAGAAAATAACTTCTTGAAAACTGGAATTGGTCAGGGGGAGGCCCTTATAACTTCTTATAAGAGACCAAGAAAAAACAAAATATAAAAGAAGAAAAAAAATAGAAGAGAATATGAAAAATCTTATAAGAAAAACAGCTGATATGGAAAACAGATCAAGAACAGAAAATATGAGAACTACCTAAAAGCTACAATAAAAAAAAGACTCGTGATACAATAATACAACAAATAAACTGCCAAAACAGACACAGGAACTATATGAATATAAAAACAAAACACCTTTTATACAGTTAGATCTAAATAATTTTTTTTATGTATGGGTAGGTATAGATAATAAAATTTTAAAAAATGACAATTGTACCTAACCAATCTATTTATGTAATACCATCCCAATGGTATTACAAAAAAAAAAGGTTATTGAGTCAGAAAAAATAACAGTTCATTTGGCAGAGCAGAGGGTCAGGAACTTCTATCCATATCTGTATCTATATATCTCTATGTCTGTGTCTATGTCTATATTGGTATAAAAGTCTTCTAAATTCAGAAAGAAATAAGAGGGCAAGGGGAAAGGGAGGGGTGAGAGGGATAAAGGAGGAATAGGGAATAGGATAAGGGGGGTTGTTTAGAGGAGCAGGCAGATTAATGGGGATGAGATAAAGAAGGAACAGCATATATATTTGGAAGGGTATAAATTTATCTAAATTCAGAAAGAAATAAGAGGGTAAGGGGAGAGGGTGGAGGGAGAGGATAAGGGAGGGATTCTTGGAGGGTGAGTAAGTTAAGGAATGGGAGGGTGAGGTAGCAGGTAGAAGCAAAATAGAGGAGTGAGGAGGACTAGGAATAAGGTGAGTATACTGAAGAAAATAGGAGAGAGGAAAATATACAAGTAATTATAGTTTAGAATGTGAATGGGAAGAATTTAGCCACAAAACTGAAACTAATAGCGGATTAAAAATTTGAATTCAACAATATTTTGCTTTAGAAAATGCTCTAAAAATGAGAGATACACACAAACACAAAATGAAGGTCAGGAGTAGAATTTATCATGTAAACAAGCAGCAGTAGTAATCATGATCTCAGACAAAGTTAAAGCTAAAATCAGATTTAATCAAAAGAGAAAAATAGGGAAACTATGCTACGTGTCAGCCATATTAATCAATAGTTTTAGACCATATAAAATATCTAGACAGCATAAAAAATGTGAAGCATCTTATAAGAAAAACAGCTGCCAAAACAGACACAGGAACTATATGAATATAAAAAGAAAACACCTTTTATACAAACAGATCTAAATAAAGTAATTTTTTTTTATGTATGGGTAGGTAAAGATAATAAAATTTTAAAAAATGACAATTGTACCTAACCAATCTATTTGTGTAATACCATCCCAATTGCATTACCCCCCCCAAAAAAAAAAGCTTACTGAGTCAGAAAAAAATAACAGAGTTCATTTGGCAGAGCAGAGGGTCAGGAAATTCAGGGGGAAAAGATATGAAGAAACTAGATTCAATAGTATCAGACCTTAAATCATATTATAAGGTAAGAGCAGCATTGAAGTATAAAATGGATAATTTTGATTATTTTAAATTAAAATTTTCCTATAGAAATAAAACATATAACCAAGAATAGAGGGAATGCAGAAAAATAGGGGAAAACACTCAGACAATCCCCCAGATAAAATGTGATTGGGTTGGGATATTGTTGTGGTGTAGAAGTGATGAGCTGGTAGAGTTAGAAAAATAGGGAAATACTTGATGTTATGAAGGAAGATGCTATCTACCTACAGAGAAACAGATGACAAGTGGAAATAAGCATAATGCCATCTTACATATGCATTTGAGTGTATATATGTATATGTTGATGGATAATATGTATGTGTGTGTCTCAGTGTTTAATTGTAACCTTCTTGGGTGGGGAGTGGAAGGGGAAAAATAAAGTAAAAAGTGCATAGCAGAGAACAAAAGCATACACACAAGCAAGCAAAGAAAAGATGGACAGATTTGAAAAAATGTGTAGTATTTATTATGTAGGTTTTCTTGATGTAAATTTATTGCTTTATATGGAAGCCTTATGTTCTGCTGTGCACAAGGCAATTTTTTTCTTTTCTTATTTTATATTTGTTTAAAATAAATTTAAATATAATGGAAAAACTCCAGTAAAGAAGCACAAGGAATATTAAAAATATAGAAGACAATTTTAATAAGCCAAGATTATTCTGCAGTTGGAAAAACTCAAAGAGAGAATTGGAATAAAATATTCCACCTCTCCTCCACCCTTATTCCAGCTATCAGTGCTGGGAGAAGGCCCCACCTTCCCTGCCAACATGAATATTAATTTCTAACTGTCAGGCAGGTATAACCAGAGAATAGTACCAAAGTCCAACAACCCAGATTCCATAAGATTTTATCTAATAGGAAGCTCTTGTTCAAGTAATTTATCATCACCATCGTAATTTATAACTTGGGAGTTATGAAAAACTGAGTTTTTTAGTTCAGTGTTTTCTTTTTAA